TTATACTTCAGAGCGTCTTATACTCTGAAAAATACGGTACTTACAATAGATTCTGAAGGTACAACATCTGCCCCTACCCTGCCAGAATCATGTGACTGCATTTTGTGTGCTAGGCAACCATCCCACATCTTGCCCGTTGTCATGTGACCAGTTTGCGAGACCGTCTTCTACCGCATACCTCCCAATGGCCGATAAGATCACACAGGATGGGCCTTCTCCGGGTACCGTCGGCCGGACAATGCCGTCTGGTGACCCCCCGGGGAAGGGCCTTCTCTGTTGCTGCTCCGACCCTATGGAACGATCTACCCCCGGAGATCCGGACCCTTCCCACTCTCACGGCCTTCCGAAAGGCTCTTAAAACCTGGCTCTTCCGGCAGGCCTGGGGCTGTATGAAGTCCAGCCCCGCCTAGATTGAGTGTATGGTGTGACCTTTTAATTCTGCTTTTATTCTCTCGATTTTTAATTTTTATTTTGGAAATGTGTTTCTGTAAGCCGCCCGGAGTCCTTCGGGATTGGGCAGCCTATAAATTTATTAAACAGTTAAACTGTCCTAAGGTGTCACTTTCTTTCTGCAAATCGCTGTCACCTGCACTTCGGCTGGGAGGAGGGGAGGAAAGTGAGTGTCATGCTTTGATCAGCAAGATACGGCAGGACTTCTGGGCGACTCCTCAGCCAGGGGTGCCCCCCCTCCCCCATATCACCTGACAGCACAATGGGGTAGAAATAAAGGCTTTATTTCCTGTCTTCTCTCTCTCTCTTTTCTGGAATTATTTCCAAAGACAATGGCTTCTTTTAAAAGGACCCTACAAAGAGTAAAAGGGGGGAGGGGGGGTCATTGTTCCCCAGATTTCTAAATTCTCCCTCCCTCCAACAAAGGGGAAAAGAGGGGCAGCCCCTCGAGAACAATGGTGCTGTTTCCTTCTATTTAACACCCCCCCCATTAACATGCTCCAGATCTCTCCGATTCTCCCGTTTTTTGCAAGAAGCCATGGGGCGTCTCCCACCCACCCATAGAGGGGGGGGGCCACCTAGATTTCTCCAGTCAGTAATATTCTTCTCCCCCCCTCCTTCCTGGTCCCTATATGCACCCCAAACCTTCCCCTATCCATCCTCCGAAGCTTTGTCTGCAAGAACGCAGGGCTCAGAGAAAGCCAGCTCTGGACTGCCTGGAGTGGAGGGGGGGGTACGTTGTTAAGATGGGAGGGAGGGATGTCAGAAGTCTCCCTGGAAGCCTTAGGGCCTTCTCCTAGCGGAAAAGAGGAAGGAGACCCCCCACTCCCCTCCAAAAAAGAAGGATCCATCCTCCTTTTCTGTTTTTTTTCTCTGTCCGTTGGTCCTTCCACCCTCCCTCCCTCCATTCATTCATTCCTTCCCTCCTTCTGTCTCTGACATTCCTTTCTTTGTAAATGCTCCTGTTTCTCACACACACCCACTCCGCACAGCTGTTTTTCTTGATTGTAAATTTAAGCACAAATATAAAGTCAAAACAGGACTTCCTAAAATTCCTTTGACGTTGAAATACAGACAACCACACCAATTGGTAACATGCACCTCCTAAATTGAAATAACAAAAGCACAGATAAGAAATGGGGGAGGGGCTTCTTCTTTAGGCGTCAGGCATAATGATTTAGAAAGGTATAAATTGTATTACTTGAAGTCTGTCTTTGCCCTCTTAGTATTCAAGCCATGGGGAAGAATCTGGGAGGCCACTCTCACAACTGCTTATTCAATTTCTTTGCAATAAAAACTTTTGAATTGTGAACCAGACTCGTCTTTTGAATTGTGAGCATAAAAATTGGATTTTAATATCTCACAATCTCTCCCTCCCTTCTCTCCCGCTCCCTCTCTGCCTTCCTTCCTTCCCCTCTGTCTTCCTTCCTTCTCCTGTCTCTCTTCCTCCCTCCCTTTATTTCTTTCACCCCTTCCTTCCCCTTACCTCTTCCTCCCCACTTCTCTCCCCCTCCCTTTCTGCCTTCACTCCCACCTTCCCCATTCCCCTGTCTTCCTTCCATTCTCTTCCTCCCTCCCCCTCCACCTTCCTTCCTTCCTTCCATCCATCTCCCCTTTCTCTTCCTCTCCCTGCCTTTGTTTCTTTCATCCCTTCCTTCCTTCCCCTTCACTCTTCCTCCCTCCCTTCTCTCCCCCTCCGTCTTCCTTCCATCATCTTCCTCCCTCCTTTCTCTTCCCTTCCGTCTTCCTTCCTTCCTTCTTTTATTCCCTTCCTTCCTTCCTTCCTTCCTTTCTCTTCTTCTTTACCCTCTGTTTTTCTTTCTCTTCCTCCCTCGCTTCCTCCCTTCCAGCCTACCTCGATCTTGTCCACGCTCCGGGCGCAGCCCACCACTTTCAGCCCGTGCTGCACCAACGCCCGAGCCACGGCCGCTCCGATGCCCACCGAGGCGCCCGTGACCAACGCCACCCGGTTCTTCCAGCGCTCCATGAGCCCCCGAGCCGCGCCGGCTGCCGGCCCCTGCGTGCCTCCTTGCCTGCCTGCCTGCTTGGCTCCCTCCCTGCCCCGAAGCGCTGGAGCCCGTCCGGCGAAGGAGGCGGAGGAACCGACCGGCGCACTCGCCTGCCTGCCTCCTTCTCCAAGGGCAGCCTCGCCCTTCGGCTGGCGAGGGAAGCCGGCAGGAGGCGGGGAAGCGCCCCGGCCCCCTCCCCGGGCAGGGTTGAAAGTTCCCCTTTGCCTTTGGCCAGCGGCTGGGGCCGCCTCCGCCTCCCGCCCGGGGAGCAGCGCCAGGCAACGGCGGAGGATTCCACGCGTGGGAAGGGGACGAAGATCGGGGCAGCCCCGAGGCTCCTCCCAGCCGGCGACCCGACCTGCCCGGGCGTCTGCATTTCTGCCAGGCTGGTGCGTTTCCCTCCTCTCCAGCCCGGGACTGAGCCAGCCTTAAGATATTAATTAAGATATTAATACATTCACGCATTAATATCTTAAATATTAATTGAAATATTAATGAATTGATTAAGATATTAATTAATGATTTGACCAAGATATTAATGAATTAATTGAGATATTAATTATTGATTTGACCAAGATATTAATTTAAGATTGCAGAAAATACAACTTCAGCAACAGAGTGGTCAATGCCTGGAATGCTCTACCTGACTCCGTTGTTAAATCCTCAAAACCCCAAAACTTTAACCTCAAACTGTCTACCGTGGACCTCACCCCATTCCTAAGAGGCCCGTAAAGCGCACCAGCATGCCTACATTTCTTCCGTTCATCCTATCCATGTTTATATGTATACCTGCTATTAACAAGAGTTGGAAGGGACCTTGCAGGTCATCTAGTCCAACCCCCTGCCCAAGCAGGAGACCCTATATCTGCCTCTACCTAGGATCAACCTCCTTGTACATGTTTGACAAACTAATAAATAGAAATATACTTAGAAGACTGGAGGATAAAACAGAGGAAGACCGGTTGCTGGAATTGGGGGTGTCTAAGTTGATGAAAAGAAGGGGGAAAAAGAGGGGGGGCATGATAGCTGGGTCTCAATATTTGAGGGACTGCTCCAAAGAAGAGGGCTGTGTGTCAATCTTTTTTTTTAATTAATTAATAATATGTATTTAAAACAATTTTTCCCTACTGTTGACAATATACTTGAAGATTGCTTTTTAAACATCC